GAGACCATGTGTATAATATATATATATATATATAAACGCATACGTTTTAATCGGAAATTTCTAATTCTACATGTACATTTCTTATCATTTGGCAAACCAAAAGATAGCATTTCTACAGTAAACAATTCAATACAATTAGTCAGAACTGCTTGGCATATTACATGTTAAGTTACTACGTTTAATGACAACTTCCGCAACATTCACAAACTATTAAATGTTAAGAATAATTATACAGTTACGATTGAATATACATACTTCAACCGAATATTAATAGTAATTTGCAACTGTTAATACGAAGACCGAACACAAGTTAGATAGAGCAGTGCATTCCAAACTTTTCAGCTCGCGGCACACTTTTAACGTCCCAAGCTTTTTATGACACATGTAAATAAGTCCGTATGGTAGGCCTAGTGGCACCTCCCTGACAGGCAGAAATTACTGTGTATCAATGAGAAAATTAATCAAATTTGAAATTTTAAAAATGTATTAAACTGATAATAAATTTACATAACTAAATAAAAATTACTTAACAAATGCAAAAATTTCGCGTCACACAGTTTGGGAAGCACTGAGAATGAGATAGAGCCTCCAGTTGCCAAGTAGCAATGCAAATTCGAAATATGATTAGCCTCAGTTTAATCTTTTTTCAGATAATTTAAAACAGTTAGGGCTATAAATCTATGCGATTTTCAAAATATTATTAGTCTAAGTCTAACTCTGATAACGCTCCGAGCCTCTGTACCTGAATTCTTCAAAAGGAAGTAGGCTTATTAGTTAACTTAAAAGTTAAACTATTATAATCTAGTCCATTTTTTTTTTTTTTAGTTTTACAACGGTAACCAGTATTTGAACAATTTAAAAATCAGCGTTATTTACGATTCTTTTCATTATGAATATTGTCGTTACAGCTATAAAATATACATATGTACATAATTAACTACTTTATTTATTACAAGAAATCTTAAACGACTGTTAATCTAACGCGCTGGTGCAAATATCCGTGGTGGCAGAAATACAGAGCTTCCAACAAAAAACGCGACAATAGACTGAGTAATATAATATAAAGCACACATATATAGTTTGGTGCATGTTACTTATGAAGATTTTCAAACGTATATACATAAATGAAGGACTTCTGAAAATAAATATGAACCCACCAGGTACCCACAAGAGGGTGTCAACAAATTTCCTCATCAACCCACGGCAAAGTGTTTTGACAGCTTTCCTTTCGATCTCCATGGCTTCTATTTCTAAGTGCTGTGCTTTATTTTTAAACTGTATCCGAAACTTAACCTAGCGAAAGCGACCTCTATGTAAAATATAAAACCTGAATTTCGTACTAACATTTACACATCACTGTTAAAATTTATTTAGAAATTTAAACCAAGAAGACTGGTACTGACAAAGATGTTTGAACTTAACAGTAATTCGAAATTTCTTGAAAATATGTTACGAAACATATCAGAAAAAAAAATGCTGAAGAGATGCGATATATATAATATTTTACGTACATGTTCTTTCCGTTCTGCCCAGTATTTCTCATAATTCCTAAGAAAACCTCACCTTTTATGCTTATAAAAATCATGGTCCTTTGAACTAGCAAGGAAACGAGAATCATACCTTGAGCTTTAAAAATCTGACAAAAATATTTTTTCTATGACTTCCCTTTGTAATAAGTATTTTTGAACAATCGTAACGCTAGTTAACCGATTTTTTTTTACCCACATAGCATACAACAAGCACGACATCGTCTTTGACACTCAAGGCCATACCAATTTTGTTTTTAACACGTGAACAAGCTTAAATAAATAATATACGATACTTTTAGTTATCCTAATGTATAAATGGCAAACCAATATCGTTTCAATGTGTTTGTTTACTTGTCATTGTTATTGTAAAATGTATATTTTTTTATACAATGTTACACTTGCAGAGGTTTAAATATTCCTCATCTAACTTCGAAAAGTAAAATAAAGAGACCGGAATATTTTCCATTGTCTTTCCCAGTGATGGCAAAATAAATACGTAACAGACGTTTTTAGGTTTTTCTTATTGAGATAAAACTCAACTTTACTCGAAAAGTAAATTGATTTATTTTTTGACTTGTAAATCTATGACGCAAGTTTACACTCAATTAGTTTCACTTTTTTAAAGAAATATTTAGTATTATTAAATAACTTAAAAAGGAATTCAAGCGAATATGGATGCGTTGTTTGTTAAACACAAAGCTACAAAATGGGCTATCTGTGTTGTGCCCACCACGAGCCACTGGAAGGGATCATATGGAAACGATATAATTAGCGTTGAAATCGAACGTAAAATTAAAAATAAACTGTACGAGATAACTTTATTTCGGATTGAAAAACTCGATATTGAAAATTGTATGCCAATATATATATATACACACACACATTTTAGTTTTGGCCTCAAAATGCAGTTTGAATCACGGTAATAATTTTCGCATGTATTCATATGAACTTAAATATGGGTAACCAACTTAGTTTATTTTAGTGATTGAACGTATAAAACATCAATTAAAACTGTTAGCTAGATTATGTATTCGACATATTCCACTCGCTAGTTAATTGGAGTTTTTTTATCTCCTTTATTTGGCAAGAATGCATTCACAAAAAATATGTCAAGCTTTTCTCTTATTGACGTACAATATATTAATGTAAGTTATATTTATAAGCTACTTTATTAAAGTGAAAAACTTCAGATAATTGATACACAGTAGGCAATTAAATATAAAGTCTCATAATACAGTTAAAACAAAGATATCATGTTTCTAACTAATCTAAATTTAATTGTAGTATGATGACTTTTAAATCAAAAAGATATTACGCAAAAGGGATTAAGCGACAATAGATTACATTTCACTTTATGAAGATTAAGTTCCTAATTATAGAAATAAATCAAGTTTTTAGGCAAAACACAAAAAAGTGGCTCGTTTTTTCGTCTCAGAATTTTGTGGAAAGATACACAAGAGCTATCTGCGCAGAAGGGTTTACCAAATTTTTATAGCCCAGTTGTTAGTATGCCAGATTGTGGAGCTGCAATTAGGTGGTTCGCAACCATTATGCAACAAAAGAAAGAAAAAATTTCGTTCTACACTTTAGGCCCTTTGGTGCATTATAAGAGTGACTGCAAATCCCACTATTCAGTCTGACAAGAGTACCCAAAAAATATGATTTGTTTTGTTTGGAATTTTGCAAAAAGCTACACGAGAGCCATCTACGCTAGCTGTTCCTAATATAACAGTGATAGGCGAGAGGGAAGGTACATAGTCAGCACCACCAACCACTAACTCTTGAGCTATTCTTTTACCAATAAATAGTTGGATTGGCCATCACATTATAACGCCACCATGACTGAAAGGGCAAGCACGTTTGATGAAAAACATTGGAACATGCGACCCTCAGACTGCGAGTCGACCGCCTTAACCACCAGGCCATACCCCCCCCCCCAAAAAAAAAAGAAGGAAAGAAAAAGTTGGCAGTGAATATTGTTAACTTCTAAATGAGTGGGCAGCTAGGGTTGCTATCCCTCACGTAACTCTGCACAAAATCAAAAAAGATAAAATTTTGAGTTACTAGACTAGAGAGATGGTAGTTAGTCTAAGGCATCAACTACTCAGCTACTTTTGTCTGAACGAACAGTGAGGTTTCACCTCACATTTATAGCACCCGTAATCCCTAAAGTGTGGTGCACGTTTCTATGACAATGGGATTCAAACTGTGAATCAATGGATTGAGTCTGGAAATGCTAACCACTTAGCCACAACTGGTCTAATGATGTAGAAAAACTTCCGATATAACTGTTTTGCAGAACACTAACACATTCAAACTCATTGGTAAATGAAATTATATATAAACTACAAGATACAGGAACTTGGATTTTATTTTCATAAACTACAAATTCTAAAAAGTAGAAGTTGTGATAAAACAACTATTATTATGGTGTAGATATCGTTTACTGTACA